AGATACTTAGCTTGTTTAACTGGGGTGCGTTTAGTGTTAAATAATTCGAACGTTGGTATCTCTTTTTTGTACTTCTTGCCATTAATAATGATTAAACTGCTCTTATCAGGATGAAGCTTGATTCTCCATTTTGCGCACCAAATTTCCACTTCATGGAGTTTATGTTGTAANTTAATTTCAATTACATTTATTTTCAGTAATATATAAGAAATATATTAATTTCATGAGCAACATCATGCATACTTGCCAACTAGCAACTGTAAAACTTTTCGTGAAGAATTTAATTAAGCTTATTGGAATTAATAGAAAAATAATATTACAAAAATAACATTAAATTTTCTATTGCATGTGCAAACTAGCTAAACGAAATGTTATCGTCATGTTAAAAAAATTAATTTCAATTACATTTATTTTCAGTAATATATAAGAAATATATTAATTTCATGAGCAACATCATGCATACTTGCCAACTAGCAACTGTAAAACTTTTCGTGAAGAATTTAATTAAGCTTATTGGAATTAATAGAAAAATAATATTACAAAAATAACATTAAATTTTCTATTGCATGTGCAAACTAGCTAAACGAAATGTTATCGTCATGTTAAAAAAATTAATTTCAATTACATTTATTTTCAGTAATATATAAGAAATATATTAATTTCATGAGCAACATCATGCATACTTGCCAACTAGCAACTGTAAAACTTTTCGTGAAGAATTTAATTAAGCTTATTGGAATTAATAGAAAAATAATATTACAAAAATAACATTAAATTTTCTATTGCATGTGCAAACTAGCTAAACGAAATGTTATCGTCATGTTAAAAAAATTAATTTCAATTACATTTATTTTCAGTAATATATAAGAAATATATTAATTTCATGAGCAACATCATGCATACTTGCCAACTAGCAACTGTAAAACTTTTCGTGAAGAATTTAATTAAGCTTATTGGAATTAATAGAAAAATAATATTACAAAAATAACATTAAATTTTCTATTGCATGTGCAAACTAGCTAAACGAAATGTTATCGTCATGTTAAAAAAATTAATTTCAATTACATTTATTTTCAGTAATATATAAGAAATATATTAATTTCATGAGCAACATCATGCATACTTGCCAACTAGCAACTGTAAAACTTTTCGTGAAGAATTTAATTAAGCTTATTGGAATTAATAGAAAAATAATATTACAAAAATAACATTAAATTTTCTATTGCATGTGCAAACTAGCTAAACGAAATGTTATCGTCATGTTAAAAAAATTAATTTCAATTACATTTATTTTCAGTAATATATAAGAAATATATTAATTTCATGAGCAACATCATGCATACTTGCCAACTAGCAACTGTAAAACTTTTCGTGAAGAATTTAATTAAGCTTATTGGAATTAATAGAAAAATAATATTACAAAAATAACATTAAATTTTCTATTGCATGTGCAAACTAGCTAAACGAAATGTTATCGTCATGTTAAAAAAATTAATTTCAATTACATTTATTTTCAGTAATATATAAGAAATATATTAATTTCATGAGCAACATCATGCATACTTGCCAACTAGCAACTGTAAAACTTTTCGTGAAGAATTTAATTAAGCTTATTGGAATTAATAGAAAAATAATATTACAAAAATAACATTAAATTTTCTATTGCATGTGCAAACTAGCTAAACGAAATGTTATCGTCATGTTAAAAAAATTAATTTCAATTACATTTATTTTCAGTAATATATAAGAAATATATTAATAACATGAGCAAAACATCATGCATACTTGCCAACTAGCAACTGTAAAACTTTTCGTGAAGAATTTAATTAAGCTTATTCGAATGAATACAAAAATAATTTACAAAAATAACATTAAATTTTCTACTACAAATCATGTGTAAACTAGCTAAATGAAATGTTCACGTCATGTTAAAAAAAATTAACTTCATTTACATTTATTTTCAGTAACATATAAGAATAAATATATAACATGAGCAACATCATGCATACTTGCCAACTGTAAAAATTTTCACAAGAATTTAATGAAGCTTATTCAAATGAATAGAAAAATAATATTACATTACACTAGCATTAAAGCAAATAATTGATAGAATTTATTATGCAATTGCAAGGTTATTCAAATACGAAGCAACTTATTTTTAAATTGTTAAATCAGATTTCAGTACATAATACGCACATACTTAGGTACGTATAAAAATGTACAATTTAGCATCTCAGTTGTTTGAAATTTAATAACACAATATTTATTTTGTTACTTCAGAATATGAGTATCGTATTTAGCGTATAATAAAATCTATTCATAGCTGACATAAAAAGAAAAATATCCAGTAGATTTTACAAAACAAAATATAAACTTCATGATAATTGTTGCATAATGTACTAAACATTTTACACATAGGGAATCTTAGGAATTTTTACAGTCATTGAAATAGAAAGACTGCAATATTTTCTAGTTATGACTGACATTAAATGAACTTGAAATGTTATGTATTATGTTTACTCATAATTTTGAATAGGAATAAGCATTTAATTCACCAAAGTTAGTTACAAGATTTTTTTTTTATTAATTTAAAAAGGGAGTTCTAAATAAAAATAAACTAAACATTTTAGAACAAAAGAAATGTTTTAAACTGATATTTTTAAATGAGGCTCACTTAATTGTATATTAGAAATACTTATTTAAATATTCAAGAGAGCAATAATCGGTCCAAAAATTCCATTTCAACAGGTTTCTTTAATACGAGATTGTGAAAAAATAATTGGACTAAATTTATTGTAACAACTTGCCGGCCAGGTGGCCGAGTGGTTACCGTGCCTGACTGCGAAGCCAATGGGAGCGGGATTCGAATCCCGCTCTGGGCATGGATGTTTCTNTATTTACTGTAACCGAATAAGAATTATTGGGTTTGAAAAAAAAAACTCCTGTTACCCGTTTATTTTCTCAGGTTAGAGGAGAATATATATTTTTCTTGCCGGCCAGGTGGCCGAGTGGTTAGCGTGCCTGACTGCGAAGCCAATCGCTGCAGGTTCTAATCCTGCTCTGGGCATGAATGTTTCTCTCTCTCAGAGTGTTGTCTTCTGATGTGTGAATATATGAATGTGCCCCCCCCCCCTATGAACGGGTATTTGTGGCGGTGTGGCATGGGTAATGTTGCTCGCCTCCGTGATTTTGGTTCACAGGTGCCCACTGGGTAACGATAAATGAGCAACACTTCCGGCATCTTCTAAGGCGAAGAGCTAAAGTTCAGTGCCTGCCATTATTAAAAATGATAAATAATAAAAAATTTAACAACTTAGCAAGTATTTTTTTCTTCTTTTTTGAAATTTTTAATGTTTTGGTATAACTTTAATTTTTAAAAAATTAAGAAAAATGCGGAGAAAAATGTTTAGCTTGTAGAATATATTGTTTTTATTGAATAAAAATTGTTTTAATGTGTTGCTTTAAGTAGCTTTTTTCACGAAGTGTACCAAATGGTAAATACAGAATGACCCAAAAAACATTGGATAGGTAATATTTTACATATTTTCTTTAAGGAACGAAAATAATTCCTTTTGATTATACATCAATAAATTTTTGTATTTATTTACATTTCAATATAGATCCATTTTATACTGTATTTTATCAAACAATGCCTTTTATAAATTTCATTTTTCTTATTTTCTTTAAACCAATATCTAAAGCAAAATGTTTAAATAATGTTGTTTCACAATTAGCATTATTATTTTAAGAGATATTCAGTTTACAAAAATGAAAGTAGCACATGCAAAATTGTCAAATTTATAGCTGCATATTCTATAGAAAATATCTAGATGAAATTCTTTACATTTTATTCTTTTTTGCCCTCTTAGTTTAGATTAGTTAATTGTTCCTGTTTTTACAACTGGACAGTTCCATGAACATAAATTTCTTCGAAAAACTCTGATAAAACATAAATTAAGTTTGGACATAAAATGTTTGATGTTAAACTTAATTTTTTAAAGTTGAACTTAAATTTAATTTAATGATTATAATGACTGAAAATTAACTAGGCCTTTGTATTAGCAAGGTTTGGTACTTAACATCTGAATGCAAAAGGCAACCCTTTAGCAAACATTCGTGCTAACCTAGCATAAGCATGTACTCAGAGTCATGGTGGCTCAGGGGATAGAGCGCTCGCCACCCAATGCGGCGACCAGGGTTCAATCCCAGTGACAGCTGGTGTTCATGATGACATGTGACATGGTCAATTCGAACTCCGATCGAACTGACCACAGTGCTGGCATAAAATATCCTCTGTAGTAAATGGATCATGGATTAGAGTCCCTTTGCCGTCAAGCTAACCGTGGAAGGCTTTCGTGGTTTTCTTCTCCACATAATGCAAATGCAGGTCAGTTCCATCAAAAAGTCCTCCACAAAGGCAAATTTCTCCCACTACTTGATCCAGGAGTTTCCATGTCTTCTGGATAGGGTTCAATAATACAAGGCTACGGAGTTGAACATTAGTAGCCGTAAACCCTAAATTTGGTAGGCTGTTCAACTACGGTTATAAAATATAAAATAAAAAAGCATGTACTGAAGAACGGTGTCTGAACATGGGCCTGAGTAATGTTCTAAATGAAATTACATTGTTTCTCAAAAAATTAAAACTGAGTTGCTTACCTCAAATAAATAAATAAATAAAATAAAAAATATATAAAAAAAACTTCATTGATGAATTTTATGTTTTAATATAAATAACTTTAAGTACAGAACAGCATAGTTAAGCAGATTTTATTATGTTACTAAGGTGCAATATTATTGTAAATTAACTAATAAGAATATTTAGACTGTTTCTAGTCATATTTCACTTCATTTTATAAAGAAAAAGCGAAATAAGAGATGGAAATAGATAAAAAAGCAAATGTAATGTTTTAAAAAGCAGCAGTGTCAGACTTATAATAAATTATTATTTTACAATAAAAATAATTATTTTTTTTAAGTAAAAATAGACGACACAATGCTTCAAACAGAAAATAATTTAATTATGTTAAATCCTAGGGACACAGTACAATTAAATATGTATTTTGAGGTCGGAAGTAATCTATCAAAAGATCATCTTAGGAGTTTTCTTTTCTAAATCAAAATGTGAAATGTTTCTACACATTCCACACACACAATCCTATTAAAAGTTGGCGTTTATCTGAAAATTTGTAAAATCAAACAAAAGTCCATGAATTTTTTTGGATAACCCGAAAAAGTTGGAAAGTATGAATCATGTATATAAAAATAACATAATTTAAAAATGATAAAAAAATAATTCTTCTTTATAAGGTGGCCACCTAGTTAAGTTTACCAATTAAAGTAATGCACAAGTGGTCAACATACTCTCTCTATATAATAATAATTGGACGTTTCCTTTTTTCAGAATCAGCTATGCATCATCAGTTTGATTTCTTGTCCTAAAGAGACAATCTTGTTCCTCAGCAGGTCGGCCTGATGCCTTTCTACGCAGCGCTTCACATGTGGCAAGAACACTGGATTTGATTCTTGTGGTAACAATCTAAGTATTTCCTCAACAGATAAAGTTTCGGCCAGGTGGGCGAGCACAGCTACAAATTTAAATATATATACAAATACATAGATTTTAAATAATAATAAATAGTGTAGGAAGTGAAGTATACTTGAAATTGAATTTTTAAGATCAAAAAACCTTATATAGATAACACAAAGTTTAATACTCAAAACAGTGATGCTTATATATATATATATATATATATATAGTAAAA